CTGGTTTTACTGATTTTGTAATATATTGCGCATACATATATGTATATATGTGTACAATACATACAAGTAGACATTTTACACTGGTTTTACTGATTTTGTAATATATGTGCGCATACATATATGTATATATGTGTACATATATATATGCGAGAGAGAGAGAATGAAAGAAACGCCAAATTATCACTAATTACCTTTTGCCAGAAGAGTGGTGTTTTCTGACATGATACTTTAGTGCCAAAATCTTGGAGTTGCACATATTTGGAAATAGAAGATGTCATCATCATTACAGGAGTTAATATGTTTATGCATGTATGTATATATGTGTGTATGTATGTGTGTGCATTATTGCTTATTACCAACAATGAAATGGACTGTTAGAAAACTCGTAGGTAAGCAGTCAGGCATGATAGCATATGCTTCCTATCCTAGCACTTGAGAGTCTTAAGCTTGATGTTTACAGCTAGTCTGAGGCCAGCCACACTACATAGTGAGTTCAAGGCCAGCTACCCTACATAGTAATTTTAAGGCAAGCTTTGGACACATAGTGAGGCACTTTCTCAAATCAAACATCTACAAAACAGTAACAAAAACCCTTGTAACCGTTGAAAATTATGTTCATGTAATTGCAGCTGTCTTCCCTGTCAAAGCACATTCACCGGGATTCTTTTATGCCTCTTATGTGCCCAGCACCAGAATCAGATTTGGCTATAAATTTAGCAAAAAAAAATATTGATTTTTTTCCTTCAAAGATAATACTAAAAATTTGACCCAGCATGTTTCGCATATAAGAAGTACTTAATTATTTCAAGACATAGTGTTGCGATCAACTCTAGAGCTCAGATTTATTATGGCTCCAGGGAATTACCTCAAGTAATTTCTTTGCCTGCATATTTTCAGACCAGCACAATGGAAGTAGGCCATCTAAGCTCCCAGTGTGGGGACCATTGACTATGGACTGGCTAGATGAGACAGGCTCAATAGTTCTGTGTTATTCAGGGTATGTCCACCTGTTTTTGAGATGTGACATTCCTCTTTTCTTGAAGATGCCTGAATTCTGGACCAGACTCCCTCAAGTCAGTCATCTGTCATCATTATACAATGCTTAACAAATACACACTGATTTCCTGCCGACCAGAGCTATAGTTAGACCTCAAAGTATACTAGCATAGTGCTCACAAACATCATTGCATAGCATAACTCAGCTCTACTGTAAGGATGCTCTTCTGCTCTACCTAGGCACAGACTAGGACTCAGAACTTCAATTCTGAATCACTGGGTCTGCATCCATCTAAGCACCTGCCAGTTAGTAGCCACTGCTAGTTATTCTCCTGTTGTTTATCCCTGGATTAGATTCTTTGGAGCTGTTACCCATGCTAAAAGTAATCTTTTGTTTTGTCTTCTCAAAATCCTTGTCACATTTTGTCTAAATTTGTCCATGTACATATGTAAATATAACAAATGCAGATAGCATTCCTATAAATGGAAATTGAGAAAGTTTTTGGGTCAGAAGAAAGAAATCACTTTTTTTTTCCTCAAAAGTTGTTGAGATACCCTATGGTGTCATGGTACATCCAGGTCTAATAGTTTTGTGAGGTTTTTTTTTTTTTTAATGAAAGAATATTCACGTTACACTAGGGGTTTCTAAAATACTAATAGCAGTTTAGGAAGTAGACAATCACAGTCTATGCTGACCAAAAAGAGTTACTATATTGGTTTTGTGCTCCTTTGGGGACCTGCACTCCACTTCCCCATTTTTTTATTTTTGACTTGGGGGTGGGCAATAATCTTGTTTGTGATTTAATAAAAATTGCCCTCAATTCGAAGCTTGGAGGATGTAATCATGCATCTCACCTGAATCACTCATTAGTTTTTAACCTGAGAGCCTCAGGACCTGTAATTCTCGAGGTGAAAGAGTTGTTGCTTTCTGCACACACTTTGCCTTCCACCCTGAGCCAGAGAGCTTGGAGTTTTATCAACTTACTCTGATTGTAAGGGTGAGTTTCCTATAAGATGTATTGCAAGAATTATTCTTCTGGCTTGGATATGTCCTGATCCCTCGTCCTTTTCCTCCTCCCCTAGTCTGCCTTCTCTTTCCTACCCCTCCCACAAGAATCCTCACTATATTGCTATATTTGAAGAGATATAGAAAGGCAGATAAAAACAAAAGCTCCTGTAAATTCAGCAATAGATGATTCTCTGTCCCACACTCGGTAGTTTCAACAGATGGAAACCAGTATCTTTATGGACACTTCATTCTTTTTATCATGAGGAGAGATTTGCACTGAGATGCGAAAATACCTGTGAGCTTTTGCAAGCCTTGCCAGACAGATGAAGCAAAACCCCCACTAGAAAGCCTCCTTTCCGGGTGGAAACCAAAGGTTTGTTTTAAATAAATCCAAGGGGAATTTCAAAGGGTATCGGTGATAGGTCTATTACTTAATGACATTTTCCTTCCTGATTTTTCAACACTGATGCCAAAATGGAAAGGTTCTTCACCAGAAAGTATTCTATGATTGCTATTTCCAGACATAACAATGAACTGAGAATGGAGAGGGAGAGAAGCTGGGGGGAAGGGAGGGAAACGAATGCAGGGTTTTCTACAGCAGCCATGTTGCAGCCAGAACTAAATCCCAGGGGCTCACATTCTGTGTTCTATTTCACTAATAGTACTTGCTTATGGGTACCCTGTTTGTGACTGCCTGTCTTCATTGTGTCTTTGTTCTCCACAAAATGGAGCACCTCCTAGGAGCAAGATCACTATCTAACTGCAATGAATAATGCTATTTTATGATTAGGTTCAATTGTTTTCCAGGGAACTGAAAAAGTCTGGTCTCCCATTGTGTTTTCCTAAGCTCATATGTCTTAAGTAAACTAGTTTCTTTCTCATGCAGACTTAACCATGCTCAAAGCACTTTCCTGTAATTCTTATGCAATACTCAAAACAATTTGTTGAAGTCCTTATTAACATCTCTATTACAGGTTAGAGGGAACTAAGGTTCAAGAAGCTCAATGATTTGTCTGAGATTAGGGAGTGAAATTATGATGCAATTGAAATCATAAATAAGTCTGCTGATAACCAATCACAAAGTCTGGATTCCACGGTACAAGCAAAAAGTCACATGGGGTAAATGGGAGGGGAAAACTATCAGTGTAGATATTTTACCAGCACAGGGATAATAAACAAAGGCATTGATATAATGGCAGGCCCATTTCCCAATTTCATAGATGTTTTTCTGAAAATATGTTTGAAAGCTGATGATCCCAAATTGCAAAAGAGACATTTTTATAGTAAATCAGTGTGCTGTTCCTGGAGACACATATCATGCATGGTGTACAAAGATGCAAATATGAAATGCCTCTTTGTGTTTTAAGCAGCTAAACAGATAAAAACCTTTCGTGATTTCTGGAGTAAGAACTTCTGGTGGTACTCCTACTGAACAGTGAAAATCCAGACAGAGGATACTGGAAAACTTGGAGGTTGGCTTCATTTTTCCAGCTTTTTTCTGCAGTGGACTTGCTTTACTGAGGTACCTGGAAACTTAACAGACATTTAAAGCCTCATATGTGTCCCCTTACATATTCATGTGTTTTTATCTGTTACCTGTTGTCTTCAGACAAACCCAAGGGTAATAATGACTTACAGAAACTTGGAACAGTCCAGTGGCAACTGCTAGGACTGTGCTCATGGGGCATAGCTATCCACCAACCTTGAGAAGTGAGGTACTTATAATCCCAGCTGTGCAACATGGACAACTGATTGCCAACACTGCTTCTATGATTGCCTTAAGAGGACAAGCCAGAAAGCACAACTAACCTACAGACACATGTTAGCATGATCAACCCCTTTACAAGAATCTAACATAACTGAGGAATGAAGGGTTAAAATGTCCCTTCATTTATTGCTACTGAGCTTAGGCCCAGCCTTCTGTTTGCTGTTGACAAAGGCTCTGCCTAGAAAGGTTTTCTCCAGATTTCCTCTTCTATAATTCTATAAAATTGATCTAACCCCTTTCAAGATCTTACTTGATTAGCTAAACTTACCTGACTACCACATTTTTCAAAGATTTATTTATTAATTATTTTATGCATATGAGTGTTTTACTTGCACACACACATACTCATAAAAGCCAGAAGAAAGCATAGGATCCCCTGGAAGTGAATGAAGCTACAGGTGGTTTTGAGTTGCCATATGGGTGCTTGGAAGGTATCTCTGGTCCTCTACAAGAACAGCAAGTGCTTTTGATTCCCGAGTCATCTCTCCAGCTCTCTGACCCCCATATTTAAATTATACATTCAGGTACCCGAGTCATCTCTCCAGCTCTCTGACCCCCATATTTAAATTATACATTCATTTTTAACCTGAAGTATACACTAAATCACTATGTATGCATAGTTTTTCAAAGTTTTTCTTAATGTATATGAATCTAATTTTCAAGAGGAGTTGTACCTTATTCATCATTGCTGTATTCTAAATATCAAAAGTGCTTGATAAATATTTTATTGAGGGAATGAACCAATGAGTGAGGTAATGGATTTGATAATTAGGTTTTTTTCATCCTAACATTAAAAATTGAATTAAGTTTAACACTATAATATATTTGGAAAATAAGAGTAAAAATATTGGATTTAAAGCACATTGATAATGCAATACATAGAACATGAATTGAAATTGAAGATGGTCTTTGATTCAAATGTGTACTATATACTATTATTCCTACCTCAGCATGCCTTCTTTTGTAACATCTCGTTATTTCATTTTCTATCCTTCCTTTTAATTATTTCGGTTCAAAAACCAAATTTTATTTGGTTTTATATTTGCTTACAGATATATGTAATAACTGGTAATGTTGATCAATTACCACACACTATCAACACATGATGAACACTGATGTGTGTGTGTGTGTGTGTGTGTGTGTGTGTGTGTGTGTGTGTCTGAGACAGCAAAAGGAAGAAACCTTGGTGTTATAGTCACACTCTCAGTAAGATATCACACCACAAAGTCAAGTCCCAGTTGCCTATACTGGGAGTATAGTCAGCTTTGTATTGGACATTCATTGAAAGCATTTCAACTCTGACATTTGTGGATACAAGGCAAGGTTACATATGGATTATATATTAAATATTCAAATATTTAAAGGTCAAAAACAGTGCAGCAATTTGAATAAATTATGCCTTCTACTCTGGCCAAAACACATTCAAAATGACATTTTTAAAAGAAGTTACATTATGTTGGGACACATACAAACATAATTGAGAGTAGTATCAATCATACAGATATTTTAGTACACACACACTGAAATGACTGCCACATCAGAGCAGATTAGCATAGCACCACCTGGAAGAGTAACCTCTTTGTGTGTGTGGTAATAACACATAAAATCTAATCTGTTAGCAAATTTTCAATATGCATTGCAACTATTGTGAATTATAGATCTCCACATATCCTACATTGAATGTTTAGAAGTACTCATCTTCATAACTGTAAATATGTACCCTTTGACATACAAAGAACAGCCCAAGTAAATTAAGCCAGTGATTCCCAAAGCTACTTTAACTTTGGATGATCTTGGGAATTTCAAATGTGTAATGCAGAAGAGCTAGGAGTCTGGGATTTAAAAGAATTCGAAGATTATTTTGATAGATTGCTGCTGATTCAGTAGTGGAAAGCAACATCTATGCTGACACCATGTGTCCAGGGTCTCTCAATAACAGTCTCTTCAGAAAAACACAGTGTGCAACAAGGAATAGGTATTCACAAAAGTTAGCTGATTTCATGTATCCAAAGTGCTGCATGAATCTGATGAGATGTGAAATTATGGATTATTTATGCTTCACCTTTTCCCCAGTGATTGATGAAAATTAGCTGCAGAGGCTTGTTTGCAGTTCTGGCTTAGTAAGTTTCTACTTTTGTAAGCCTGGGATAGAGGTGGAAAATCAGCACTCGGAACATTTTTATATATGGTCCCCTCACTACTTCTGAATATTAGCAACTCTTTCTTTGGTGTTTTGGGCATACATAAATTCATACTTCCATTTCATTTTTGCATACTCATTAAAGTATTTTATTATAATCTCATAGGTAGCTATTGTCCAAGATTTTGATGATGCTGATAATAGAAAATAGAAATTGCATTGTGGATAATCTCAAACTTTACTAGTAATTCCTTCTGCTCTTGCACAGGTCACCCTAATGCTTTTCTGTCAAATATTCATCTCACTGTCATGTTTATTTTTAAGGAATCATATTATTCGTAGTTTAATTGATTTTTAGTAAATAGGACAGAGTTGGTTAGTTTTGGTTAACTTGATACACACTAGAGTTACCCAAGAAGAGAGAATCTCAGCTGAGAAATTGCCACTAGTAGATTGGCCTGTGGGCATGTCTATAGGGCATTTTCTTGATTAATGTGGGAAGGCCCAGTGCACTGTGGGTGGTGCCATTCTTGGGCAGAGGTCTTGGGCTGTATCAGAAAGGTAGCTGAAAAGAGAAAGGTGTTCCAGTGTCCAACAGCTTTATATTAGAATGTACTTTTGAGCAGCTGTAGAGTTATACCAGGTGTTTATGCCTTTAATCCCATCACTCAGGAACCAGACGCAGGTGGACTTCTGAATTCAAGACCAGCCTCATCTACAGGATGACATCCAGGATTCTCTGGGCTATACAGAGAAACTGTCTCAAAACAAAACAAAGCAAATAAAGAAAACCAATAAATAAATAAATACATAAATAAATCTCAGTCACTAAAATTGACCATGAAAACTGTATAAATGTATGTAAGTGGAGAGATGGTACTTTGTGCTTGGTTTGCTTTCTACTGCTGTAACAAGACTCAGAAAGGAACTAGGGGGAGGCAGGGGTTAATTTCTCTTGCAGGTTACAACTCATCATCAAGGGAAGCCAGGGAAGGACCTGAGGGAGAGAACAGGGATAAAGCTCTCTTCAGGTTATTGAGCTCTTAAAAATGTCCTCTTTTGTTTACCTGGTACATTGATGCAATAAAATACCCAACAAAAGCAACTTAGGGAAGGGGGGCTTACAACCTCAGAGGACATAGGGCATCAGAGCGGGAGAGAATGACAGCAGGAACAGGAGATGATGTTTATGTTGCCTTCACAGACCAGAAGTAAAGAGTAGAGAAAATTGTGCAAAGCCGGTTTTCTCCTTCATATTCAGTCTGAGTACCCATTCCACAGAATGGTACTGTCCACATTTAGGGTGGGTCTTCCCACTTCAAGCCCTCACATACATGCCCAATGGTATTTTCTTCAGTGTTTTTAGACACTGTCAAGTTGATGGAATTAATCATTACATCTGGTCACCCAGTCAAGTCTCTTAGGCATCTACTTCCCCTTGGATATCAAGAACCATTGAAACTTTGCAGATGTGTGATTGAAATTTCTTTGGGTGTCATTTTCCACTAATTTAATAGCTAAAATGAGCTTTCTGGGGAAAGTTAATAGGCAAAAGTTCACAGATAAGTCAATGGAAAGTATGTTTAAGACTCACTTTAGGGCGACAAAACTGTTACCCTTCTGATTAAAACCAAATGGCACTGAGATAATTTAACCACTGATGACATGTCTATTTGTCCTGATATGTCAAGGACTGTCAGAATATTCCTAACTCTTGGGTAGTGGGCACGATGCTTCTTGTTCCTATTGTGTGATTTGGCCAGACAAATTTGACAGTATCCATGTGTCAGGAGTAATCCAATCCAACACCCAGATTCTAAGATTAAATGCCAAGACAAGAAAGTTGACTCAAAGCTAGACGATATTTTGTCACAGTAGATATTAACAGGAAGTGTCACCCAAACGATCTAGTATTCTTGTTCCATTATTTACTGCTCATTCTGACTCATGTACAGCAATTAACCCTACTGAGCCTTAATTAACATAGGAACAGTAAAACTTAACTTGATATGGCATATGGTAATAGTGCATTGGATTATGCACTTGAAATGTTAAAAAACAATGCCATTGTTGCACTTTTATTCAATGAACATATATTATCTCCAGCCAATTTCAGAATACATTCCAAATTTTAATATCACTTATGTACTTATTAGTGGCATCAATCAGACTTTGTCACTGTGAACAGATACCTGAAATGCCCATTTACAGCAGAGTGAATATATTTTGGCTCACAGTTTCCAGGTTTTATTCCATGGTTGGTTGATGCTTTGTTTTCTGGGCTGTGGTGAGGCAGATCAACTTGACAGAAGATCATGAAGGAAGCCAGGAATTAGGACTAGAAGGGAAAAGTGATGCAGCCTTCAAGATCAAGTTCCAAGTGATCTCTTCTTGAAATCATGCTCACAATTCTACCACTTGGAAACAGTCTGTGTGGACTTTGAATCTACTGATGAAGGTGGAGTGCTCAGGGTCCAATGCACCAGCTTCAGGTTCCACCTCACCCTGCATGCATCAGGGATCAAACCTTTGATTCCATGAGCATTTCGAGAGCCCACTCTATATGCAGTCAAGATGCAGATTAGAGAGATTAGAGTGTGTACTAAAACTTTTATGAAATTTCCTCTATTTCTTTCCTGCATGGAAGTGCTGTGTGGCCTTGTTCCAAGAAGCATAGTAGTTTATCAATAGATCTATGGTTAAATTAAAGATGGGCAAACAGGAAGTTTTTGCCATTAATCACCTAGAAGTAATCTACCACATTTGATTTATCATGAGTAAAATGAATTGTGTGACATATGATTTCAACCCTGAATCAACTTTCTATTTTCTGAACATTCCTTTCAAACATGTGTCAGAGAGTCTTGGGATGAAATAAGAGTCATGCACACTGTATTTAAACAGTTTTAAATATGTTAGCTTTCATACTTATTCTGACATAAGGTAGACTGAGATCTTATAAAATAATAGAGGTTGGTGGTAGGAATGAAAGATTCTAAGTAGGATATTTACATTAAGAGTTTGTAGCTTCTGCCCTTAGGAAGCGGGAGATGTGCTTTAATCAGCTATGTGCCTTGTCTTTGGAGCCACAGTTTCAGCTTCTGCTGCCTTCTACATTTGACATTTCCATGGCTTATTCATCTTGGTGGTTCTGCTGACTCAGTGCCCCCCTCAGCAGTCCTTGCTGTCAGTCATTGACATGTCTGAAGAAGAGCTGACTGGGTAGAAGGTAAAAAAAAAAATGCTTCTTTTCGATGGTTAGATCTCACCACATGGGGTGGGGGTGGGAGTCAATTCCAATATGTGCAAAGCACAAGCTGGAAACCAGTGACTTCAAGGATGGCATGGGAACAGGAAATTAAAAGAAAGAGTATTAAGAAATGAAACATGGCTTTAAAAAGGGGAGGACTTAAAAATACTTAAAGACAGGGGAAACCAGGAAAAAAAATCCATATACACAATGTGCAAAGTAGAATGGGGGTGGGGATCTTTGGGGATTTCAAGACTTGTAATTGCACTTACAAGTCCTTTTCTTTGCAGCACAGAAATAAAGCAGAAAGAATACTTTGTTAAATCAAAAGAGCACCAAAAGGTGATAACCTCCTGATCAATAGAAAAATAGTTTTCCATAAAACAGGTTTTCTATTGACTTGGACTGGTGACATCATTCTCATTAATGTGGAAGCAGAAAGCACTCTCTGTGAAGCAGCCTGCACTCCCAGTAGCTTCTGGTTCACGGTTGGACACTCTTACCCCATGAGGAAGAATGAAGCCATGAAATATCTCATTCTCATTTCCCACCAAAAGTTGCAGAGGAAAACAGCTGTGCAACGAAGTCTCTGCATCATGTTAGACTATGAACTAATAATTACAGAATAAATTAATTGTTTCCAATTTGCCCTCAGTTAATTCCCATTCAGGTGTCCGTATTAATCTGGGCATTTTTCAGCTTTCAACTTAGAAAAGTGTGAATGATTTTATAACAATTCACTGAATGATATGTCTGCGCTCAGGGTAAAAAACAGATTTTCACATACAAAATCTGTTCGTGTTTGGTTACGTCTGTCAGCAACTGTTACTACATAATAGAGAGGAAAACTATAACAATTGATAATATGGACATTCGTTAAAATAAAAATAATGATTTTTAAAAGAAAAACACTGAAATTCTGTACACTTGACATTTACCTACTCAAACATAATGAATATTAATGTAAAGATTTCTCTGCAATGTTATTCCTCTGGTGGAGCTGAGAGCAAAAGCAACCAAAAGAAATACAATCTTAAAGTTTGGTGTCTGCAGGCTCAAATACTGCATTATTTGCTTTCAAAAGGCAATTAAGAATTTATTGTACATTCCTTTTAAACCTGAGAAGTTCCCTGCTATGAGACGACTTTAAAGAGAGCATTCTCTATGGAGTGTGTCCTCAAATGTTACCAAATCTGTTGTATGCAGCCAGTGTATACACTTGGGAACACGTGTGCATTTATACATTTAACAATGGAGTTTATTGACTGGACACCTTTGTTACTTGTAAGCTCTTGGAGAAGTTATCTGACATAACTTCAGATCCTAACTGAATAGCTCGATGTAATGTTTGGTGAAACCCACAGGGACAATGTGACACCTTCTGCACATGCCATCATCCAAGTTGTCATTTTAATCCCTGTGCAGTGCTACTAAATATTCTGCTGTGGTAAATAGCTCACAATTTTTTGGTCACATGCTTATTTATAAAGTTTTATTTGAATCTTCTGGTTAACAGTGATTGTTTTTCACAGTGACTCGAATCTGGACCATTGAATAAAGCTTTCTTAGGAACTTAAGTGGAATGGCCCTATTAGGACCAGATGGCTGCCACTCCAGAAAGTTCAGTTTGTCGATTTATGCACAGTTGACTTTAGTCTAAATTGTAGGTCTCCTGATATACATGACTGACCTTGGTCCTCACAATGGATTGTATGACCACAAACTATAAAAAATGTGAAATTTGTTTTGGTTATACTTGTCATGAACAAGGATATCGAAGTGTTGTAAATCTGGAGTCTTTAAATACCTATAACTACTTAAAGGAAAATCTTTTTCTTGTCTGTGACAGAAGGTAGTTTTCTTTTAATGTATGGGTTCTGGTGTGTTAGGGGAAGCAAAGTCAGCTAATAGGGCTTGATGAATCATTAAAATAACCAAGTTTCCTTTAAGAGAATTTCAATTCTTTGCTGGACCTTATGTCTAGTTATTGTATTTTTTTTCTTTTGGTTTGCCCTGCTAGTAAAGCCTGGTGTAAGGAGCTAAAATCTTTTGAAGTATTGGACCAAGTCTAGGGATCCAGGCCTCTCCCCAAAGCACAAATACTATTGAAGTAGGACTTGAGGTTCTGTGACAATGACAAGGCATTCTAGGCCTTTTTACTTTAACACATCCCCTTTCTTCACTCTAATCCCCACTGCTTTTGTATTTGCTTAGCAACATTGCCTTCACCACTGAACACCCTGCATCAGAAACTTGGATTTCAATCCTCAGGATAGAGATAGTGCTCTGTCTGGTCTTCCCCTCTCACACTGCCAAGACTGCCATTATTTATTTACAGATGTGCTCCCTGTGTGTGGACTGAGAACTCCTCGAGGACAGCACCAGTGCATTTATTCCAGAGTCTCACCTGGAACAGAACAGGCACTCCAATGTGTGTGTGCCCATTGAGCAAAATCACTCAGTGCCTAAAAGACAAAATTGACTTCTCCTCCTCTCTCTCTCCTACAAAAACGAGGATCTGTTGCATGCTATTACCTTGCAAGATAATTTCAAATTAAATATATTATATACATGTATAATACATACACACATGCATACCTACATAGGATCTGTCAGAAGCCCTTGACACCTAGAAATATGGTAAATTCATTCTTCTTTTGGAGATTACCTGCCAAGATTTGGTTCAGAAATGTTTCTTCTTGTGATTCAGAAATATGTCAGGACTGTTGAAAATAGGGAATGAGAGCATTCTCAACAATTGTTGTGACTTCAGTTTCCTGGTATTTGTCTGGCTGATAGTGTTTATGTTGTACTGACCCGTGCTCCCATCCTGTCTTACCTTTGCATAAGTTGATAAGAGAGGCCAGGTTCTCTGTTTGCCATTGTAAGGAACTTCCAATGCTGCATTGGAACCACCTGTCTGATCCATCCCAACCAGTGCCAGTCATTTCCCTCATTAGGGTAGCCACTTTTCAGAACACCTACAGCATTGCAGAGAGCCCTAATATGTGAGAAATGAACATTTTCATAGCCCATTTGCTTCATGAAAGTCTGTCAGTCTCAAGACCCTAACAATGTTTAGAGCAGGAGTGTCTCTTGATGTCTACCCAACAACCTCCCACTAGATAACTGTGCCTTTCAGAGCAACATACATGTGAATAAAC